AAATGATATTGAAGTCCTGGTTTTGTTTTATATCGTGCTGGACAAAATTCACAGACGAATGGTAATTCAGCTAATGTATATTGTTGACGACGATTACCAGTTGGAGGTGTATTATTATTCATTCCACTATTAGCAGTATTTCCACCAGCTATTAAAATTAATAAAAAAAAAAAAGAGAAGCAAATAAAATTAGTTATACTAATTAGCTTTTCTTTTCTTTCTTTACCACTCTTTCTTGAACCAGTTTGTGATAATCGTTTTGTAGAACTACCACGTTTTGAACGTGTTGTTGTTGAAGATACAGGTGATGATGGACCACCAGGTGTTCCTGGTCCACTACCACCACCACCACCACCACTACCACCATAATCATCATAATCGAAATCATCTAGATCATCATCAGCATCCAGAATATAATTACTTGAATGAAGATGATGATGATTATGAGCTGTGTTATGTTGTGGCCAATGTGGTTGTTGAGGTTGTACAAGACCAGTCATTGGTGGTGCTGATGATTGAGATGAATCATCACTTGATCCACCTGTAAATCGACCACCTACCATATTCGAATTTTCAACAGTAGAAATAACATGAACATCGGCATCTGACATTCCTGTAGATAAAAGATGCGAATAGTTATTAAATATTTCATTTTTTCTTATTTATAATCAAATGTTAAATAATATTTTTATACCTAGATCACCAGCTCGTACAACTATTCGAGGATCATCTTCATTTGATGTTTGCATGGTTCCATTTACATTACTATTTTTAATAGGTGATGAAATGGATTGTTGTTGTTGTTGTTGTTGTTGTTCATTAGTACCATTTGTATTTGTTATCGGTTGTGATTGACTTATTGAACTTGGTGGATTTGGTCGTTTTTTATGCCATTGTTTTCTTGCATATGATGCTACTTGATCATGACGAATAGGCATAAGACGTTGTGTTGGATGTTTCCATAGATAATTTTGTGTTGGTGTTTGAATAATATGAGTTTGTGAATCAACAAATGGTAAACGTAAACGAATACGTCTTTCACGTAATAGACGTGAATTAAATTTATTTACACTTGATACAGCATCTGTATAAGAAAGTTCTGAACCAAACGCACGTATCACACGTGATGGTAATAAATCAATCATTCTCTTTCAAATACAAAATATTGTTTTAAAAAAAAAAAAAAAGTAATATGTTTCAAATATTTACTAGTACTTCATCGATAAATGACAAGTTTCTATCTTTGTTTATATGAAGTTCATATATGATTTGGTCATGATCTTAACCATGAATACACCAATAAGAATTTGAACCTCTACAATATAGAACAAGAAATAGAGAGTGCTGATTTGACATTTTCTCTGTGTACTATTTGTTGATTTGATAAACGAATAAAAAGAAAGAGAGGTTTTTTTTATATTCTTTGTTTGGCTTTTTCACGTATATTAACCAGTTTATTCGATAATATATCGTACAAAAATTAGAAAAATGCTAACTTATAGTATTAAACAATTGATGAATCTTTGTTCGGATTATGCACTTGATGCACAAATTCAAAAGATTCTTTTTTCATTGGATTTATGGATACCTAAAGCAGCTCGAGTATGTTCTATATTTCTTTATGATCTATAATATTAATTGACTTACATCTTAGGAAGTACAAATTGATAATGTTGCACAACAACAATATGGTTCAGCTGTTTTCTCTGGTTTTAATCGTGCTAGGTTTGTTAGTTTTTTTCAAAAACCCATAACTGACTCTATATCATAGTTTTAATCTAGATCTCCAACAGGAAATGATACGATAATAAATAATCATAATGTTAACAATAGATTACGTCGTACATTAGCTTCACGATCAATGTCAGCTGAAGTTTTTCATAGTTCCATTGATACAGGATATAATGGAATAACTTTGAAGAATGAGTAAATTTTTTGTTTTCATTTTTGAAAATGTAGAAACTATATATATATATATATGTTTATTCTTATTTGAATAGTTTACGAGATTCAAATAAAACTAATACATCATCATTGATTAAAAAATCTAGCAATGGACATATTCTTGATGAAACATTACAAACAGGTCAATCACAAATTAAATTAATGCCGATTTTAGAAGGTGGTGAAAATGAAGATAAATCAAATGAACAACAACAACAAACACGATCAATTAAAGAGATTTCATTAAAAACAACAACACTTGATTGGACACCAAATGAGTAGGATTATTAATTGAACACAAAAAGAAAATCTTATTAAAAAAAATTTTGTTTTTCTAGGAATGAATCATCAACTACTGCTAGTCGAACAACGATAGATGCACTTTTTGAATTAAGTGTTCGTGCTGATTCAGCTCTTAAAACAGCTCTATGTGAAAATGCAGCCATAACAACAATAAGTTCACAAAATAATGATCGTATTACTTTACGTAAAAGTGTTAGTGTTATGAATCAAAAACAAAAAACTGGCAGTGGTCGTTCACTTATACGTGCTAAGTCAGATATGGCGGCTGGTAGTGATGCAAGGTTATTAAATATGTTCTTGTTTTTTTTTTCTTACAGTACTGGTAAAAAATATAAGACCAACGTACTTTTTATTTCTTTTTCTACGATACCAAACATTGACCACGATTGTAAAACAGTGTTTTTCAATAGCGAAATGAAGTTTTTATGCAAAGGTTGTAAAAAATGCAGTAACTCCTTATTTTATCCAGAAATTTGTACTGCTGAAAACGAATCTTGAAAAATTCTGTGTTTGGCTTTTTGAGAAATCTTTCTTTTATTGACCATTCAAACCATTATACAGATTTGAGATTGATACTTGGTATCGTAGAAAAAAAAAATTAGTTAATCTATCACTTATGACCAATTCTATATAGAAGTAATGTTCGTTGTTTTTTTTTTTGCAGTCGTAAACGTGCTTTGGCACATATTGCTCGTTCTTCGGAACGCTATTTTAATGATGATCCAAAAATAATTGCTGAAATAGAAGAACTTGAACTTGAATACTTATTTAAGTAAGTGTAACCAAAAAAAAAACGAACAATCTTTGAATACTTGAAATATATTTAATATAATCTATATTATAGTTATATTCGTTATTTGAAAACATTTCCTAAATATGTTGATTTGACTGAAGATGAAATCTTACGAGAAGTCGAAAGTGATCCACATACATTACGTCAACGAACAAAAGAAATTTTAAAAGGAAAAATGTCTGATTCATATGCAGTTTATATTGCTAAATATCCAATAAAGTATGATAGAAGTTTCTTTTTTTATTTATTTAAATTAAATGTGAAAAAAAAAAAACATCGAATTTTTTTGAATAGAAAACAACGTCGACGTGAACATCCAACATCACCAAATAAATATCGTAAATGTTCACGAAGATGTTTCGATGGACAATTACGTACATGGCGTCGTAATTTACATCAATTTGATGCAGATAATCAAAATATGAAACAAGAATCATTAGATACTATTGAAATAAATAACATCAATGAAATTAATCAACCAAAATTAACAACGTAATAAGATTTCAAGACCAAAAATATTTGCTTATGTTTTCTTTTCGTCTACTATCATCAATGATCAAGCTAGATAAAACGTGGAACAAATGATCGATTTTATTCATCAAACTGTTCTATTTGATATGCACACCTTTTTTTTTTTTTTGTTGCTTCTTATATTTAATCAGATATATACTCAGATATTAAAAAGAAAAAGTCATGATACGGTGTATATCCTATTTTTTTTTGCTTGTTTCACGTTCATGTACAGCTTGCTTGCTCGTGTATTTGTATCTTTCATCTTTCTTGTTCTATCTTTTTCTTTTTTTTGCACTCTTCATATGATGGATTTTTTTCTTACATAATACAAATACAAACGGTTCTTAACATTTTATCAAAGTCTTCAATGGCAATGATTTGAATTTATTCGCATTAAGTAAACAATGCAGGTCAAGACGGTTGTTGTGTAGTCACCGATAGAGCTGCTTCTATTGGTTTTCTTTTGCTAGATAAATTTCAAATAGTTTCTTTTTGGTGTTTTTCTACTTGGTCTCGAGTCATGGATATGATGCAATAAAGCATGAAACAGTTCCGTCGATTTTTGTTCCGTTGTGGACGTAATCTTGAATAGTTCTTTGTTAAATTAAAGAATATTATCTTCAAATATCGTTGTCAATGTCTAATTCTGTTTTACAGATTTTTTCATGCTTGCTGAAAGACGACATTTGTTGATCTTTTAGAAAATTGAATATCTGATTTCTGGATTTCGTACAAATAATAAATGATACTTATTTACTGATTTTGAGATATTAGTTCTTGTTTATTGTTTTTAGTCAAATCTAGAATGCTTATATTTCAATGGTCTCATAGTTGTCTTAACGTTAATCTTTTATATCGCCTAACAATGAAAGCTTATCAAAGTTTAGAAGTATTGTATCATTATTAATCATGACATAAAATGTGATTGTTCTGATATGTATTACGTAAATGATAACAAAGATAGGTAAATTGAGATTTTCTTTATTATAATCAAGAACAATTCCGTTCTATCGATTCCCACACTTTTCTTTGTTCGTATTCTTTTTTTCGTCTTTTGTTTGAGACGAATTCAGTTTCTCTCTTTCTCTCTCTCTCTTTCATTATCGAAATAGACTGATAAAAGAAAGGATCATATGTTGCTTTTTCCTCTCATTATACGATTCTAAATAAACTAATCCAGGCTGCTTGTCGCACGCATTTACACGCTCCGCCTCTGCTTTAACAAGTATATGTACCTATGCATTGTTCACACACATTGTAAACAGGAATAGTCATTCGGTATAACATCAGTTGACCTCACACAAGTGCTTGTTATTTGATCCAAACGTATACATTTTTGTTTTCTTTGTGTGTATTGTCGAACAATATTTGATGATGGTGACATACACCTATCATCAATAAGGATGACAATAATGATGAATTGCTCCATCGTTTGTAAAGTGACGCTATGAATGTGACATTATTTCGGTGGCTACTTATTGTAGTCACTAAAATTATCTATTTTGTTGATGCTAATTGGGTTACAGGTAAGATAAAAAAATAATTATTGTGAAGAAAATTATTTTTTTAATATTTTATTTTAAAGGTAATCTTTGTTGGTCAATGCCATGTATGAATGGAGGTTCTTGTTTTGGTTCAGCACATACTTATCTTTGTGTATGTCCTATAAATTATAGTGGAGCTTTATGTGAAAAACGGCTTGGTATTAAAATCTATTTTTCATAATAATATTTATTAATTTCTATTGTTATTTTCATATTGATTAGGTATTTGTCAAGAAAGTCCTTGTGGTAATCGAGGTTTATGTGTTGAAACAAGTTTAACTTCATTTGAATGTCGATGTTATTTTGATTATATGGGTCCATTATGTGAAGAACATGTACCGAAAGATGATCCTTCCGTATGGTCATGTAAGTAAACACATTTATATCTTTTAATTATATGATAATTATTTTTATCTTCTGATTTCTAGCTCTTATACCTGTGCATACACGAGTTTTATTTGATATATTACAAGAAGCATATCGTGCAAAAGCTCAAGGTAAATCAACAATCCATTCTAATAGTAGTCCAGTAGATTTTTGGGGTTTATTAACTACTAATGATGCATCATCATCATCTGATACAACATCATCAACAATACTTAAATCAAATTTTATAACTTATTCAAGTGAGACAACTCAACCAGAAAATGTTATACGTGCTGAAGATATTCAACTTGAAAAAATTTTTCCAAATATTAGTACAGCATCAACAACTAATATGTATAAACAAGATTTGATAGAAACAACAGAGTCAAATACATATAATAATGAAACGAATTTCGAAACAAATATGACTTCTTCTATGGTAGCATTTACAATAGAAAATATTACAACAACTGTATTACCTCCTTTAGAGACTATCGAATATATGATGACAACATCATTCAAACAAAACCAAAATAGTTCTTTAAATATTACTGAAGATCATGAATTTATTAATATTACTCAACAATTTAACACAATGATAACTTCTACACCTTTTGAATGGTCAAATTCTAACAGTAGTAATGATACAACAACTGATTTCACTCATGAACTAATACAAAATTCAACTGAAAAAAACAATAATAATACTGAATCGAATGAATTTATTCTCAATACTACTTTTCAAACAATTGATTATACTTCATTCGAAACAAACAATTATTCATCTATTCAAATGGATAATAATCAATTTAATATATCAGAACAACCAATACGTTCAACAAATCAACCTTTAACTACTGATAAATTAAATGACATAAATAATAATGCTCATGATGCACAAAATCAATTACTTTATAAATTATGTCAACAACTTTTATCTCATATTTTACCAAATGTATCATCATTATCATCATCAAGTGCTATTGAAGACGCTTTATCATTACTATCAAGTTCATCATCAATTGGTAATAATTCAGCTGATGAACTTCTTACTTGGATTAAAGAACAATTTAGCCCGTCAACAACAACAACAACTACAACTATTAGTACAACAACAACTACAACTATTAGTACAACAACAACTACAACTATTAGTACAACAACGACAACAACAACATTATCATCATTATTATTACGGGAAAAAAACTTATCAACAATGTCATTACAACGAGTACATATGGATGACGTACTTCATCAAATGAACAATAATATTGATGGTGACCCATAAATAATAGTGAAATATATTATGAATAAATCATCACCATCTCTAGCGAACAGTCTGTTTTATTAGTTTCTTTTTATATGACACGTTTGTCTTGCTTTTAATGTCTTTTACATTTCATTATTGTTTTTTCCGTCTTAAATAAAATTCTAGAGAAATAAAATTAGTATCTAATTAGATAAAAATTTGAATTATTATTTGTCAACATAACTTAAATCTTACGATATGATTCTTGTTGTAAAAATACAAAAGAAAAAAGAAAAAGAAATTTGATCGTTGTTTAAATATTCTTCAAAACTTGACAACTTTTTACTTATATGTATATATTTTGAATGTTATATCATCATAAGTAACTAATACGACCAAAAAAAAGGAACAATGACGTCAGATAGTAATGCATAGAAAATTATCAGCACTCATTCATATTAATGTCTAGCTATTGACGTAAATAATTTCTCAAAGAATTTAAAATTTTTTTTTTTGTTCTTTCAGTGGATTGCTAAATATGGTTTTATTAGTTAATCTCAATGTATGAATTAGTTAAATTTTAGATTACTCTAACAAAAAACAAACAATAGAATGATTTCAGCCAGATTGATATAAATAGGTGTTCGAACAATACATTAAATGTTTATGAAATTTCGAAATACAAAATCAATTTGTTTTATTTCAATTATTCAGTTCTTACGATAAAATTTTTCTTTTTTTTTCTTCTGTAAAAGATGCTACATAATAAATATGACAAAATATTCTTTTCTTTTTTTTTCTTAGTACTTCACAACACATAAGAGATTGTTTTTAGACTCATTTGATAGAGAACTTCCTGCTTAATCATTTAAAAACGAGAACGCAAAAAAAAAACAAAAACCTCTGTAAAAGTTTTGTTGAAATTGCAAATGTTCTGCAAACTTCTCTATAAAACTTTCTGGAAGATCTTAATCCCATTTGTACTTTATTTCTATAACTATATATATATATCTCCAATCTTCGCGACAATCTAACGAATATATAAGGACGATATACATGAGAAAAGAGGATTTTAGAAGATATATATATGCGTGGAAAATTTTTCAAGTCAAAAAAGTTCTTTTTGGGCAGAATGACATTATTGTTTTTCTTCAAATGTTTCTACTCTTCAATTTAACAATCATATCATTAGTCTAAATCCGATGGCATGAGAATAAATCATCATAGATCAAGTCTCGTTTTAGAAAAACATGGTTTATTAGGATGCATCTCAAAATATCATTAGGTGTTCGTTCAAAGACTTTTCTTCTAAATAAAAATAGCAGAAACCTTGGAAACATCGTGTGAGCAGAGAACATGAAGTTCTTTATCCATTGGTTGTAAATACATTACTTTTAGCATAAATCCTGTGATGAGTTAAGACTTACACAAATCGATAGATGTGTTCATCTTTTAAATTTTGTCTTCAACAAATAAAAAATTTATTTGAAAAAGTAAAAACAGTAGTTTTGTATAGAAGAAAATATTCTGTCAAATGAGTGTAAAATAACCTTTCTTATGTATGAATTAAAATAACATATCAAAAATAAATTTTCGCTTTTCTTTTAGTTTCCGGATTTCTTTTATTTTATTAGCTAAATTATCATCTGACAATTTAGTTTCTATCAAATGTAACAGTCTCCTAAGGATATTACAAATTAATTAGAATTATATATTCTTTCTCAATTATTGACGAGCATTTTTTTTTTAAATAGTTTTTCTTCTTCTCAGATTAGTGTGGGTGGATACAAATATAAATGTTCTCTTTTGTCAGTTGTACTAATATATATTGTCCAAAATTATCGTTTATTAAACCTAAACGCAATTTCGAATTAGGAAAAAAAGTACAACATTGCTCTTCACATAAACGGTATCGAAACATCATTATATGTATTTAATTACCATATATATATAATAATGTTTCAATACTGATTATAAAAGCCGATTTCTTGTTCTTTTTTCCTTCGAAAATGGGGTTTAGTTGTGAAAAACGGTAATTTTGGTCAATACCTACTAGTTGAAACGATAAAATCTCGTTTCCTGAGTTATGTGGATACTTCCACAATACGGATGGCAATATAACAGATTGTCAGTCTGTGTACTATCGCATATCATAACAACATCATAAGAGGTATGTGCAAATCTAAACATATATATAGGTCTTTCATTGGTAAGAAGTTAAACTATGATCTGCTTATGATATGGTTTGTATGAAAAAAAAATGATATCGTAGGTTTTTCTGTTAAAATATTGTTGTTGTTTTGTTTTCTGTATTTGAAACATACTTTTGCTTATGTAAATCGCCAAGCTCTATCGAATTTTAACAATAAGAGAAAATTTGGATACAGTTGAAGTTTTGAATTATGAACACATAATATAAATTATAAATATCTTACAATTCAAATATCTCAGTCAGTACAAATCATAAGTAGTTTATATTTTCTATTTGTTAGTTTGATTATGAGACTTTTGATTAGACTGAAATGTTTTCAATATTCTTGACTTATAATACACACTATTCAATGGTAAATATGACATAATAAGTGATCTGTAAACACATTTTATGTCATTTTTAATTCTATTTATTTCATAAGAAGTAAATCTTCTTTTTTTAAACTATGATGTCAATCAAGTATTAATGAGGATTTAAAGAAAAGAATATCATGTATTCGATTTTATTTCAATGCATTTATAATTAATAAACAATGACTTCAGTAAGATAATTTGACATAAATAATAAAAAAAAAAAGTTTTTTTAAGATAACTTTTTATTATCCTTTTGAATATCAATGATTTACAAGAATGTAAAAACAACTTGTCTTTTCTTTACATTATAAAGTATTTAAATCATAAAAGTATCAGCTATTTTTAAAGAAGTGTATATTAAAATTTTCAAATGAGGGTTACATTATGTATCTAGAGATTGAGTGAGTGAACTTTTTAATGAACGTTGAGTTACACATCTATTCAAAAAAGAACGAAGATTTAACTATAGTAAAAACTATGGATACAAGTAATTTTAATATTTTGTTTTATATCGTAGAAAATACATTTCTAAATGTTTATCTTTATAAAAAAAAGCAAAAAAAAATAATAATAAAAGAGGTATGATTAATTAATAAAATCTCAATAAGTAAAATAATTTTCTAATCGAGCAGATGGAAAGAGACGACCATATGTTGATTATTAAAAAAAAAAAGAAGTAGGATAAAAAAAATCCGCTTCCATTGACGATAAGAAAAAGAAAGCCAAAACGGAAATGAAATATTTCTTATATATATATGAATGTTAAAGAACTTTTTACATTTAAGATTGATCTTAAAGAAAGAAAACCAAGTACACTGCTAATACAATATGAATCAATCTTATACATTAATTTTCTTTGTTGTAATTATATTATTTTCAAGTTCGTCATTAGCTTATCGACTTTATCCAAATCCATATAAAAACGATCGAGAAAATGTTCGATCAGTAAATATGAAAATGATTGTTCCAATGAAAGATGATATCTTTGAATTAAAATATTTTATATTACCAATAAGACATGTTTCTGATGGTAAGTAATTTATACTAGTTTATTTATTCAAATAATTTAATGAGAAAATGATTAGTTAATTTTATTCATATTAATTATATTAGTTATTAAAAAAACAAAAATTTTGTTTCTCCTTCTTATATTATTAAATATACATTTGTATATCACTGTAAAATTAACCGAGTTAACTATATATATATATATATATATATGTATTTATTATATTATATTTACGTATTAGTTTTTATTTATATGAAAATAAACAATTTTAATGGTATTGAGAAAACAAAAATAATAGTCTTTTTTCAGCTTTAGACTGTACATATGTCAAAACGTTTCTTTAATTAAAGTTGAATAGATATTTTCTATAGTCAAGAAGCTTGTATACAGTATCGAGAGTGTAACAAGTATTGGCTGATATTGTGTATATGAATAGTTTGAGTCATTGACAGAGGCGTAACTCACCTCTGATGGCATGGAGCGCACAGAGTTTCGAACATAAAAACGTACCTAAAATAGGGGCACTATATGTAGCTAAATTTGTAAAGCAGGAGGAGGGGGCGTTACGCACTCCCCCCCCCCCCCCCCCCCCCCCCCCCCCCCCCCCCCCCCCCCCCCCCCCCCCCCACTCCACTCCGCCAGCGGAGGTCTCCTCGCG